ATCAACCAGTTCGTTAATTTTTGTTTTTATACCCCCGCTTGAAGAGTGGGCGGGTATATATCGATTGGGATATCCGTCCGTCTGTACAAGCTTGTTCAAAAGAAATATTTTCTGTCAACCTTTACACATATTATATACACATTATGTTTCAAACTTGAATCTGAACAAACCTGTGCTCGGTGTTAACAAAAGCTTTAATAATGCCGATTTTATGATCCCATTCCGATCAGTCTGTTAAAAGAAACAATTGTTTAACGTCTCTTTCGAAAATTTTTACCCATGACGAGAGTTCTACATATTTCGTCCTATACTCGACACTCAGAGCTATTAAGCAGTGAGAGGTCTTTGCCACGCGGAACCTCGGTTAAAAGGACCTGTCTCCATGTTCCACAGCAGATTCATACTCGTGTCGTATTGTTCCACTTGTTACTCCGCGACTGTAGAGCAAAACTTCCGACCTTAACCCCTCGCGGGTGACAAAAATGATAATTTTGAGCTCGTCGTTCATTTTTAGAATAAGGTGTTCAGTGATATATCTATCATTTTTATTATTATTATATTTCAATATAATTATTCTATACAAGGCGTTATCTGAGTGGTTCTAGATTATCACGTGACAAGATCATATAAATTCATATTTCCCTGTCGTCGGCATGCTATTTATGATATTCAACCCCTTCAACCTCTTCGAAAACCTAGTACATTTTCCTGCAATAATTATGGTTTGTTGAACAAATACACATCACAACTGCCTGGTTCATGTCACAAAATTGATGACTGTAAAAATGTCCAAGGGTTTCAGTAACTTTACACATAAATTGAAGTTGCCGAATTTGAAAGGTTTTGTTCATATGAAAGTTTTTGGTTGTTTTGGTAAATAAGACTTTATTGCTGATCCCACTTCTGATGTTTCGGTTCGTGTTTGCTCTGCTCTAATTTTGTATTGTTTTATAGACTTTGAGACTGAATACTGTTCGTTATCTCCATATCCTTCATTGCATTAATATTTGGTATACAATAAAATATTAGCGAAAAATATTACGTTCCTCAAAGGCGAAACAATAAATGTGGAATATTGGACCTTTGCGAGAAGCGCTTCTACAGTAGACTACTTAGTTTACAGTAGGACAATAGTTGTGCATATGGAAGCTCGAAAAAATATAAATGGATTTTTTAAATCACATATTACCTTGTTTATGAAGAAAACGTATAATATCCTATATTCAAACCCTTCCTTTTTCACTAACCAAAATATGTGCACTTCTCTTTCTAGAATGTCTTTCTACCCTATTTGAATCATTCAGAGAATGAGATTTAAAAGTTAGTATCCCTTTCAATTATAGGATTTTAAGTCATTTTATTCTGCCTTCTATCATCTTTTGTTTTTATATTAATATCAGTAAATCATGTCAGCGACATCTAACACCATAATAACATGTACAACCACTTCTCAGAATTTCTTACTTATCGCCAATTTCATATCTACATACATAACGCAGTTTTCAATGTCAAAGTAAGGTGACTGAGAAAAGCAGCATTTCTCGAAAAAGCACAATTGTATATAGCACTCTCTTAGATATGAATATTTTTATATATATTAACAATGACATCATAATTTCCTCTTTTAAAAGACAGGATGGGAGGTTTTCAAGACCATGAAGACTTCCACGTCGTTTTAACAGCAACGGGATCAATTTTTCTTTCCTCTGTAGTTTGGATAATGTTTTTCTATTACACCTGGTAAGTTAAATTGTATTCAACTCTATCAACCGAAGAAGAAAATATTTATTTCAGTTTATCAATATTCTATTTTTAATGTATAGGTTTTATTTTAAAAGATGTCATTCCTTATTTAATTAGTTTGATACTAGAAATAGAGTCTAGATTAAGATATATCAATCCTATTATTTAGGTACAGAAAACAATGCAAAGAGACAGTGTCGCCAGAGGTAAAGTATCATGAAAGAAGAATATATAAGAAATTCATGATATTATTGTATGATTTATAAGGTGTGAATATAACAGTTTAAGATATAAGAACCTTTAAACCCCTTTATTTAGCAATAGACAAAGATATATAAATAAACCGTATATTTTAAGATGAAATACCTCTATCAGAGTTTCCAGAAATAGAAAGTCATAGAAACAATAGAAGTGAGGCAAGGGAAGTACAGCAACAAGGCCGGTCACAAAGACAATATGAAAATAAAGTATATAATAGGTACTCGGATAACTATAATCACTTAGATTTCCATAATGGAAAGATTGTTCCTTTGGAAATTGTTTCTAATAGCAACTACAGCAAGATTAATTTAGATTCGTCGTGTATATACGAAAATGATTTAGAATCACATTCAGGGGAAAGTAGCAAAGCTTGCATTGATGTCAGTGAAAAATTACACTCCGGGGACTTAGAAATAGTACTATATGGAATGGGATATACTATTTATTTTAAGTTTACTGGGAAATTAAAGATATCCATAGAATTTACCATATCTGAATGTTTTACTAACTATAGCACCTGCGGTACAGGGATTTTATCAACATCGATTTTCGGAATTTTGCATTTTACGGTTATTATAATCACATTCTTTGCAGATATGACCATTCATTTGCTAGTATTTTGGCTAACATGTTTCCTACCAGTTGTTAGACTTTGTTTTTATACTGAATTCAACACGGAGAGTTGCGCCTGTCTGTTCAATACATACGGCTCAGTTAGGTTTATTAACTGTATCAGATTATCAAATAATATGATATGATTTTTAGCTCACCTGAGCTGAAAGCTCAAGTGAGCTTTTCTGATCACATTTTGTCCGGCGTCCGTCTGTCTGTCTGTCTGTCCGTCTGTCTGTAAACTTTTCACATTTTCGACTTCTTCTCAAGAACCGCTGGGCCAATTTCAACCAAACTTGCTACAAAGTATCCTTGGGTAAAGGGGATTCAGTTTTGTTCAAATGAAGGGCCACGCCCTCATTCAAGGGGAGATAATTGGGAATTAATGAAAATTTGGTGGCATATTTGAAAAATCTTCTTCTCAAGAACCACTGTGCCAGGAAAGATGAAACTTATGGGGAAACATCCTCAGGTAGTGTAGATTCAAGTTTGTCTCAAATCATGACCCCCGGGGGCAGGGCGGGGCCAAAGTGGCCGACCAAAGTTTTACATAGAAATATATAGGAAAATTCTTTAAAAATCTTCTTCTCAAGAATGACAAAGCCATAATTCATCATATTTATATGGAAGCATGCTCAGGTAGTGTAGATTCAAGTTTGTTCAAATCATGACACCCGGGGGTAGGGCGGGGTCAAAATGGCCGACCAAAGTTTTACATAGAAATATATAGGAAAATTCTTTAAAAATCTTCTTCTCAAGAATGACACAGCCATAACTCATCATATTTATATGGAAGCATGCTCAGGTAGTGTAGATTCAAGTTTGTTCAAATCATGACCCCCGGGGTAGGGCGGGGCTAAAATGGCCGACCAAAGATTTACATAGAAATATTTAGGAAATTCTATAAAAATCTTCTCATGAATGACAAAGCCATAATTCATCATATTTATATGGAAGCATGTTCAGGTAGTGTAGATTCAAGTTTGTTCAAATCATGACCCCCGGGGGTAGGGCGGGGCCAAAATGGCCGACCAAAGATTTTAAAGATATATATAGGAAAATTCTTTAAAAATAATTTTCTAAAAAATAGCAAATCCATGATTGGTCATGGGACTATTTTTAGATTTGAACTTTACATGAAAAAGCCATTTTCTACTTTTTCCTACCCTTAGTGCTCAGGTGAGCGATGTAGCCCATGGGCCTCTTGTTAGGATTTGCTAGTGGTTCTAAATTTGGATTTATTTATCAATCAAATGGTGCAATTTGGTTAAAATTTTGTCAAACATAAACCATGAAAAATGATAGAGAATTTTCTATAATCTATATATTGAATGAAAGATTTGTAGAAAACGAAGAGTATTCTTGATTTCAAAAAAGTCCATTAAACAATACAAAGAACAAGTTAGGGTAAGACCTGTTTTTGGCCCCTGGTTTTGGTTGTCTTTCAGATTGATGCAACAGTTTATCCATAGAATCCTGTTGTCATCCCTGATACAAAATGAGTAGTGGTTCTAAGTTTTGAAATACACATAGGTCAAAGAGAGGTCAGAAAATAGGTCAATTTTCGAATTTTGTCATTTGTATGCAAACTTTCATTGATTTAAAAGCATATCTAGTTTCGGAAAAACAGAGCACAAGCTTGCCTATATAACAAATTTATGTATTTTATCAACTAGTATCAGAAGCAGTCTATGTGTAGGCAAGCTTGTGATCCATGTTTTCCGAAGAGAAAATATCTCAAATATAATGATATTCTACCGAAATTTAGGAAATTCGGTAAAACGTCCTATACTTCTGCATCCTCTAGTGTCTTCCATGTAAGCTTTGAATCTGAATTAGTACTGGTTTTAAAGCAAGCATCATTTTAAGTTCTTAACTATAATTTATCACAATTTTGCCAGTGTTCTGATTTTTACATCGAATAAGAGGCCAGATTTGGCTGTTACCAGAATAACCACGGATAAACATGGTTCTTTTAATCGTCAGAAGTGGGATGAGGTGACATGGAGGGATGAGAAATTTGTTCCAGAAAATCTATTTAAACAAAGCATAGAATTGTGTTTTAATGACGCATGAAAATAATCATATATATAGCACAATAATCTGATGGTCATGGATGTAAACACACCTGCTTTTCCTTTTCAAATCAGCGTTGCAACGAAATTCATGGGTAAAATTCAAATTTTACTTCGAATTTGGACAACAAAGTTAAAAAAAAACCCAACTATTAATCATAAGGGAAACACTTATCATTCTATTCCCCCTTGTTAATTATGAAAATATTTCAAATTTAATTAAATTGTGAAAGCAATATCTCTATAAATTAAATTTCATTTGGATTCTATCGTTCAATGTTTAAAGTCCAATTTATCTATTTCCGCATGTATATACATCTATATAAATGTAGAATCTGATCGGTGTGATTCAACATAAAATTCATTTATTTATTTGGCATACTGAGTACTTTGTCCAACATAATGTGTACTGTTGTCATTTTTGTACTGTACTTCATCTCTCTTTCCTATGCAGACGAGGGCCAATGTATTAACAAGTAAGGCTATTTAACTACAGTGTTTTCGTCATTCTTGTTTTTATGAGTCACTAATCTATAATTTCTGTAGTGTAAGTTACTCAACTTCTAACAACAAATTGACGAAAGATTAAACTGTGCATTTTCTTACTTTCTCTTTTTACATAATGTACAGTGAATGAAAAAAAAATATTTCTATTTTTTTATCCCTTCAAAAATCAGTGATTTGTTTCGATTGGTTGCTTTGACCTCATATAAACAATAGAAATTTCAACTTATGTGTCATTTTGGAATACACAGATTGAAAAAATATTATTATTATTTTTAATCAATAATTTATTGAAATACGGATATGACAAACAGTAATCAAGCTCAACAGTCTATTCAGAGAATTCAAGTCGGGAGCATAGCGAACACGGAATGAAAACCATCATAGAATCAGGTGATATGGCGCAAAGAAAGAGCATTACCTGCTGAACGAATGTATAAAGATTAATATTTAATTCTTAGAAATACAGAGTTGTGAAATACCGGTCATTTGTTTCACTTTGCCTCTCTTTTTAACACAAATCTTGCTTTGAAGATTGTCAAAAGATATTTGTCAAATCTATATGATAAGTTTCGGAAGTTCTATGGTTGATACAATGATTTTGTTAGCAAATACAATTAATCATTCAATGAAATACTGAATGATATTTTTTATACTAACTGTTAGTCCATTATTTATACACCGAGATGACAACAGATTTTTCCATTAATTCTCTATCATGACAAAGAGCACACGGCGGGTGTGACCAGTCGGCAGGGAATACTCACTCCTCCATGGCACCAGATCCCAGTTCTGATGATTTGAAGGGCCATGTTTGCTCTGCTCCTATTTTGTATCGTTTCATTGACTTTTGATCTTGAATACTTTTCGTTATCGTCATATGTTTCATGATATGAAAATATAAAGTTGGTCTTTTTCGATCAAAATCAGTAATCAGAGGTAGTTACAATTAATTTTTTACAACAGACACCGACACCTTTGCACAAAAAGGTGAATATTTAAAAGTAAGTAGACCCAGAAAAAATCTTAATTATTTTATCAGAAACTTGTAATATATTCGTGTTATCGCTCATCTCATTAAGTTATTAATTTTAGTTTAACTGGAAAGATTGAGTGCTGTGCAGATTATTATATAACAGAGTCAGACTCATGCAAACGTACGTACATCGTTAAATTTTATAATAAACATATCTAATTCTTTTCTTTTTCATTAAACTTCATATAATTTCAGCTTGCGTTGGATACTTTGGAAAAAACTGTTCTACACCTTGTTATTTTGGATATTATGGTCATGGCTGCCGCAATACGTGTAATTGCAGTAGTGATACACATTTGTGTGACTCCAGGTCAGGGTGTATTAAAAGATATTTTAACCAAACATGTAAGTAACTATATGGTCAAATTTTGATAAAAACGTTGAAAAAGTAAGAACTACTTATATTCACTCTTAATTCCCAGCTGCATCTTACACCCATCATATAATTATATATAAAATACAATCTGGCAACCTATTTTTATGCAAAAAAGTATTTCATTTTTTAAAATAAAAAGCCAGATTCAAAAAATAAATTGCCCTCATTCAAAAAAGGGAAGACACATTTTCATTTTAATAATCATTCAAAACAACACCAGAGATTCAAATACCCGGGTAATTAAGGAAATGGATAAGTAGAACTGAAATTACACTTAAGCACTACAATATATGAAAATGCCAATGAAGTTTAACAAACGTTTGAGAAAATTCCCGTTGTATATTAGTAGTTCAAATGCATTAATTTCGAAAAATAACTTGATAAACGAAACAATGTATGATTTTCACAAAATACCATTTTTTAATGATCTCATATGCTTTATATCATTGTCATACACAGACTGTGGAAAAATATTTTGATAGGTAGCATATTTCATTTCATTGTTGATTTTACTAGCGTAATTGATAACTAGATATCCAGGAAGATGACAACAATGATAAATATGATAACAATAACGCGTTTGGAATTCACCAGTTAATGTTTACAGCAGCTGGAGCCATAGGTGTGACTTCAGCTATTTGGATAATTTTAGGTTTATCTTGCAAAAGGTTTGTTATTTTCTACGTTCGCGGTTTACAGAAAAAAAATATATGTACATTTATAGATACTGTGCATTATGTTTATGTATCAATGCTTTGTAAACAGTGCAAAAAATAAGTCTATTTGTTAAATTTACAACAACAAAATCATAAATAAATAAATAAATGAATGAAATAAAATAAATCTGGTTTGAAAGCAAATGTCAAATGCAAAATGTCTTTAAACGACAAAATACGTACTTTAATATGGAAATGCTTCAGTGATTTTTTTAATCTCTTTGTTATTTAAAAAATGAATTAAATGACATCTGCATCTTTACAAATTAGGTATATGTCTCAGGACGTTAATGGCAAGGGAAACAGGACTGCTGAAGGTAAAAAAGTGGACGAAGAAATGAAAAGATATCCAATTCAAATAATATATACTGTTCAAATAGAATGATTTTTTTCAATAAAGGAAGAGTGCACGTAAGCTATGAGAGTTGGGTCCCGGTGTTTTGCGCAAAATAAAATCCCGAATTTCATTAAATTTATGTTTTATATTAAACAATATCTCAAGAGGAGGTTTTGGTATATTATATCAAAATGAAAGTGCTAAATAATGCTGAGCGACACTAGCTTTTGAGACGGGGGTCAAACAGTTTTGTCACATCTCATTGTTATTCATATGCACACCAGTTTTCAACGACATTGCTTACATCGAGCCGCAACTTGGCCATTAATCTCGTTTGCACAGAATGTGTATTTTAATTAAAACTTATACATATCCAAAGGACATTGTTGGCCAAGTTGCGGCTCATATCTAATTTTTTGAAAAAAAGTCTCCAACCTACGGTCAAGTTAGCCACTAAATTAACAGGTCCCCGAGTGTCAACGATTGATATTTTAATCACTTTACTATCGTGACATTCCACGGTTCGATACACCAACGTAATCATTGTACATTACATTGTGTTTGTCATTTGAAGTTTCTATTCGGACAGTATTTATCGTACCTCCAATTTAAAGGAGGCCGACTATAGTTTTATTGTGTGAAAACTACAATAGCGAAACTCTTCATTTTTGTACCATATATAACTTACATTAACTTCAGTGTACATGCAAAGTCTGGGGGAAATCTACCGACCAGGTATTTTTGAGGGACCGTCTCAAAATACAGGTACATTTACTATAGGATTATATACTGGGAAAATGCCAATTTTTAGCACTTTAAAGCAAATTATACAAATACATTAGACATTTTGTTCAAACTATAATATTTGATGAGTAATACTATATCATACAATATATGTACGAAACACAAAATTCTACCGTCTTGTTACCAGAGGGGGCATTTCAAAATGCAAAAAATTAGAAAATTTTACTATTCTTATAGAGTATTACTAAATATGACGTACATAATGGATTCATATTAAAACATAATTAAATATTGGAGATATTCTCAACTTTCTATGTTTTAAATTTCAAGAGCGTATGTTTATTACTTTTTCTTTAATAACATTTTTATTACCCCTTTCTTTGAGAGCTACAGATTATCATAACGTCAAAAACACACTGCAACGACGTCAAATAACCTATCAATTGCAAAATCGGTTAAAAAATCAATTATATCAAATTGTTATTACATTTTTATACCTATAATTTCTTAATTTTGTTTAATTTTAATAGTTAAGCGAAAAAAGTTGCATTAAAACAGTAAATACGCTTCATTTTACTATGATGCGCGAAATATTGCGCAATAGAAACTATAGTCGGCCCCCTTAAACAATGGAAGATTTTTGCGCAAATTTTAATAAGGTTCGAAGATTATATGTCTCTTATATATTATATTTTACTGTGTATTCTTCGGTAGGAATGTTTTGAAAGATTTCTGTATTGGTAGTGAGATTTGTAAATATAGGCTAATGTCGCCTCTATATTATGGTCTGCAGGGCGATACATCTGGGTACAGTCCACTAATTGTTTTCCCATAGGCGACAATGTTAACGTTTCTTCTCATAGCGATGTCCCTAATTTTCGTTCGGCAGTGAGTGACCCCTCAAATCAAAGCACATCAACTTGTCTTTCCTTGGTTAAAATCTCGAGGTGGCATGTCAGATTCGTTTTCCAGCAAAATGCGTCTGTCTGCGGGAACCTCTAAAAATGAAAGTGAAAGTAGGGGAATTTCAGAATTCTCACTGGCGTTATGATACACAAAATAATTCGGCTGATCTTCTTGATAAATTACATTTTCAAAGCTTTTTTGGCAGGAAAGATACTCCTTATCAACAAGTGTGAGGCTCAATTCAGTACACCTGCCCAATTTTTTTTATGCAAGTCTGCAATTTAAGGAACTTGTAATTTTTTCTGCACTACTTTCTTCTCCTACCGATTCTAAAAATAATTAGTGGGATGTACCCATCTACCCCATCCCTAAACACTAGAATCATTTATCATTTGTGCACCATGAAACTACACAATCTCTCTCTTCACCATTTAAATTCGTAGTGTAGCATCTGATTGCGAAAAATCATTTGTACTATTGTTTACATTCCACATCCATGCGATTTAAATGTCTCCGCCTATTTTCGGGTACCTTAAATTCGATAGTGGTCCCGTTCAAATTTCCGGAATTTAAGGCTCATACCTGTTCTTTTCAATGGCATTGTCTGTAATTATAGAAATATCTAATGACAAAAAAGTCAAGGCATAAATATCAAAAGTATTTACACAATAATTGCATAGTTCCAAATGACGCACTAAAGTGCACTCATTCTTTTTATATTTGCAACGATGGTAAATTGCTCGAGTTTGGATTTGAAATTCAGAATCTTACAAATGCAAAGGGTGTTTATGTCTTGAGCTTGATCTAAATATGATCAATTTTTTAAGCGAGGCATGCTACCTGATTGCTTTCCTCTTATGTATGTTAAGCTGCATTAAGAACCAATGCGACAATCGGAACATCTATATATTAAAAGATTATTTAACCTGTTCAAATACAGCATTTTTTTCTGGCACTCTATACGACATAGTATTTTCCTAATTTATTGGAAAATAAAGACAACACATTTTTAATAATAAGTTGACGTTTTGTTTAAAAGCTGTAAGTGTCCGTTGTGAAGACAACAGTTCAGTGTTTTGGGATACCATTTAACAATCAATCTATTTATATGTACTATATCTGTTAATGACTTTTAAGAAACTGATCATTAATATCCTATGGAAAAAAATGATTTGTTCATTTATGCAGAAAAATTCCATATTTCAGAACACCAGCATACTGATTATAGTTCCAATGAACCACAATACATCGGACCAAAAAACCAACTACCTGCAACGTCCACAAATTTCAGTCGAATGGAGAGAAGCACTCGGTCATCAGCAAAATCACAATACTCAAGAAACAAGCTTCGAAGGTCTCAGTCGCTTTTAGATGGAAATGGTCAATCCGACAGATACTCAGACGATTACAATCATTTAGATTTTCATAGAAAGTTCAAGTCACCCAAAAAACTTAATAACAATCAAAACTACAGCAAGTTAAAAATAATGGCACCACATCGATGCGCAAATACCAACAATGAGGACTTTGAAGAAGAAAGTAGCTATGTTTCCCTTGTTCTAGATGACACACTGTTAGTTTCAGTGTCAAACGCATTGCAAATACGACAGGAAGATATGGATAAACAAAAGGAGCCTGACTGTAATAAAACTGAAAATGAAAGCAGAAGTAATGGAGATCACAATAATACAGACCTACCAACATACTGCAATGTAGATGAAACTTTTTCTGACACTAGCAATAGTAATATTGACATACAGCGTGATTTACTTTATTGTACAGATTGTAATATTGGCTTAACTATCAAACTCTGATATAAAAATATTAAATTTTCGAAGTTATGTGTGCTAAAACTGGAAACACTTCAAAAGTTAAAACAGGATTCGTAATGTTGTTGAAGCAACTGTATTAACGAATATGAAATTGAATAATAAAAAATGAAATATCAAGATTGAGTTGATGATCTAGAAAATTTAAAGCAATATAAGAAAGTTGAAAATATTTTTTTTTACTTTTGATTGGAATAGTTCCGCAAAATATTGCCTCAATATCTGTTAGTAAAATACAAACAGAATGTCGTTCAAGATGCTATTATTTATTTATGATATCCAGGAAAAAAACTTTTTCCTGATATTTTCAAAATATTTGATATCGCAAAACCTTTCTATTTTAGTATTTTGTGGAAAGCAGATTAATGATTTTGAACAAGACAATAATGTTCAAACCTCTGAATTTTGTTATTTTATACAGTTAAGAGATAAGATACGATCGTTCTTGAGCCGCACCGGATATACGACGCATCAAGATACAAGAAGAGTCGGGTTGTGATGTACACCACTAGGAAAAGACGTCAATATACTTATTCATTATATATTCTTAATATACGAGTTTTCCATAAAATTATGTCCCTACGAATACGGATATGGAGATAACGAACAGTATTCAATCTCAAAGTCCATTAAACAATACAAAATAGGAACAAAGCAAACACGGACATCCGAAACATCAGAGGTAAGATCAGGTGTACCAAGAAAATTTTGCTTACCCTCGATCATTAAACACAACTAATTAAAATAATTCCTCAGTAATATTTTTTTTTATTACTCAATGGAACATATCATGTTTTGTGAACTCCCCTAACATTGTTTTAAGAATCCAATTCATGCTGTGAAATTAGGTTTGATTTGACTTTTGTATTTCCAATTAAGTTCCAGAATTCTGATTTTTAGCCAGTGGGCGATCATTGGTCGAAAAACGACTTTTGTTAAATCGTAGAAAAACACGTACATGTATTGAGTAAATTTTGACCAAAGTTTTCTCTTGTTTGTATGTTGTTTAACGTCCCTCTCGAGAATTTTTCACTGATATGGAGGCGCAACCTCTTGCCGGTGGAGAGCTGCAAAGGTTGTCCTATACTCGGCACTCAGGGCAATTGAGCAGGGAGGGATCTTTTTCGTGACAGCACCCACTGCGACACTGGACTTCGGTTTATACATTGTACGGTCTACGAAGTATTCATTTTGCAAGTTTAAATATCGATATAATGACCTTGTCAGCAAATTCATTTTATTGTTAAGGACAGATGATACAAACAAAAAATGGATGCCTGGATTGGTATATATTTTTTGACCTTATTTCATTGCAAATGATGCAAATAATAAATTTATAGAAAATAAAAAATTGTTCAAGAATTGAACTGTGCGACCGGGTTATTGGATGCATTGGTATAATTTTTGATCTGAATATCTTTTATCTGCATTGAAAGTCTTTCTGAAATAAAAAAAAAATGCATGGATTTTTAATTAAATATTATTTTTCAGAAACCCTCATTTTTATTTCTCCATAATTTTCTCCATTACCTTTTATCACAGACAAGGTAGCCCAATAGGTAGGGCACTCAGTTGCTTCCCGATTTGATATTCAGTCAGAAGTTGGAAGGTTATTCCCTATTCCCTTTTGACTATTCGGAAGGCGGTCCGCAGACTGTCTTTCGGTTCTCTATTCAAATTACCGTAAATGTCCTAATAATTTTTTTTCAAAAAACCTGAATAACGCATTATAAACGTGTTAAAGAAGCAAAGCAAACACATCACTTAAAAAAGAAGAGTGAGGACCCAAAACGAATGCAGCTTGCCTGACCAAAATGATGAATATGGATATAATATCACTAATAAGTAACCTTATGCCCGAGGGGCTGGATAACATCCTGGATCCCATATTTAGACCTTCATACTTTTACAGGGGAGGGAAATGGGAGGGACTCTTCGACTGTCAAAAGAAATTTATGTTACAAGACCGGGAACCTATTTAGCTAGCCCGGTCAAAATTTAAAAAAAAACGTATAATACTATTATAAGAGAACATTGCCCGAGGGGCTGGCTTAAAGCGTAGGGGGGCAAAAACATTCTTTTAGTTATTAATTCAAAATTTAATCATGATTTTCCAAGTTCAAGGCTATCTTTTCTAAGTTTAATCTTTCGTCATCTTTATAGCTGATAATTCAAACTTTAAAAATTGCTGTTCAACCTCAATGTTGATAATTTTAACTTTTAAATTGGGTACTTCAAATATGAACTTTTGCTTTTTTCCATTTATGGATGATTTTTCCAACTCTTGTCATCGTTTTTTTTTTCAACTTTATAGTTAATTAATTAATAATACCAATTGCATCCTATTATTGGCAGACCTAATTCTGTATTCATATGATGTAGAATTTTTGAAAAATCGTTTGCATGACTAGAAGAAAACACTTGCTGTGGCCATCACCTCGACGTTTAGATAAATCGACAACGCATTGTCAAATATTATGTCGAATCGATGTGTTCCCTTGAGCTTGGAAAAAAGATACCACAGAGTCTGACCCATCTGTTTCATATTTGCATATTTTACCAGAAAATGACGTTAATGGTAATCTAACAACTAAGCTCTATGATAAAAGTGATGATTTTTAACATTTTAATCGTCGACTTCCCTAAACTGTACAGAAATATACATTTATCACCTGCGTACGAGGTTTATATCTTTCAATTGATTCGATGCGCAAGAGCATGCGTTTGTATACATCTGCAATTTCTAAAACGAGGCGAATTATTGACAAACAATTAAGTTGATGAAACAAGAATATCAACAGTCTAGTTTAAAGCCATCATTTCGTAAGTTCCATGGTCAATACAATGACTGTCAGCAAATACAATTAAATTTTACCATTGAGTCAAATGCTGACTGACATTTCTCATAGTACTTGTTATGCCATTATTAACACACTGAATTGACGAAGGATTTTTTCATTGTTTCCCGATCATGACAGGAGCACGCGGCGGGTGTGACAGGTCGGCAGTGGATGACTTATGTAAGTTTTTGGGCTCAGGGACCTCTCAAATCTTTTTGGTTACAATAAAGTAAAAACAAAAATTCTTATAATGTCTAAAATCTTTGGTCAACTAGAATTTATTTCATTTTCCTGGACACTACAAAATCGATCGGAAATACATACATGCAGAAATCTCATGAAACAATACTTAAACTGCCAAGATAAACTAAACTAAAAAACTAAAAAGTCAAACAATATGAATGAAAATCCAAAAGTCCCAAAATTAAGATATCTTAGCACATAACCTGCTGACACAACAGCACGAGAGAAAAGTGACCGATATTTCATTATTATAAGAGAATAAATATAAAAACATAAATTTAAAGTATATGTACAAAATTCTGATCTGCTTCAAACTGAGGACCAGAGAAATACGGTGCCACCCATTAGAAAACATATATTTATTGCGCGCAAAATGTGGGTTGTTTTCTTGCTTTATTTCTCTGTTTATTTATGCAGCCCTCTCAAAAGTTCATTAATCGTGCGTGTGTCTTATATTCTTTTACTACTCCTTTAAAATTTCCCAAAGCCATTGTTAATGACCCTCCTGAGCCTGACATGAAGACCACAAAAAATTTACTATTTATTAAGCCATATTTTGCGGCAAAATAATTCAGTCCTATGTGCTTCATGAATGATTTATTCATGCAGCTTTGTTGTGGAAGTAGCATTTTAAATATTGGAAACAGACTGTTAGACAATCTTTAGAATATATTTCTTTGCCCTCTCCCAATTGACTCCCGACCCGACTCAAAATCGTTTTAACCCTAGTCAGGTTGGAAGTAGGCAAAATACTTTATTTCAAAAAAATATACACTTTTCAATGGTTGGCACTGTAGTTGTTTGGTCATAACATTCTAAATTCTAATTAAAACCCCAAATAAAAGCAATGCTATTCTAACAATATTACGTCATTGATGATTGGAACATTATTACTAAATCACCCTTTTGCATAAGGTAGATATAATTTTTAATAGGATGAAATGAAACATAAAACAATACAAAATAGGAGCAGAACTAAAATGGACCTCCAAATCATCAGTGATGGGATCAGTTGCCATGGAGGAGTGAGCATACCCTGCCGACCGGTCACACCCGCAGTGTGCTCCTTGTCATGATCGGGAAATAGCGGGAAAATCCGTCGTTAATTCAGTGTATAAATAAGGGACTAATAATTAGTATGAAAAACGTCACTCAGCATTTGACTCAATGATAAATTGTATTTGCTGACAGGGTCATTGTATCGACCATAGAACTTACGTAATGATGACTTTAAACGAGACGGCTGATATTCTTGTTTCATCAACTTGCTTGTCAATAATTTACCTCCTTTTAGAAATGTAGAGCATGCTCTTGCGTATCGAATCAACTGAGATATGTATACTCCGTATGCAGGTGATGAAGGTATATTGCTGCATAAGTAAGGAAAGTTGACGATAGAAAAGTTAAAGTCGTCACAGTTATCATAGATCTTGGTTGTTAGATTATCATAAACGTCTTTTTTCAAGTAAAATATCCAAATATGAAACAGATGTGTCAGACTCTGTGGAATCTTTTATCTTAAGCTCACCAGGATGTATCGCATCGACATACGAATGGAAATTACAATTGTTGATTGACAATACGTTGTCGAATTCTCTAAATGTCGAGTTGAAGGCCACCGCAAGTGTTTTTTTTCACGCATAAGTTTTTGCACAAATTCTGCATCATATGAATACAAAAAATTAAAAGTTAAAAAAAGGAGAAAAATTGCTGTCTTCAACGCAGTTAACATATCTGAGAAATTATCGGAGAAAGAATGGTAAGGCAGTGTTTGTTTCTGATATTAAGGCAAAAAGCCTTGGTAACAGAAATAAAGCATTAAGAGTTCCGTTACTGTAGTATTAAAACAATTGCTTGGTAAACATTCCAAATACGCACATATTATGAAACTATAAAATTAATGTTATCTTTTCTTCTTATTGCTA